TCTGAGTAACACTTTATCATCAATCACTTTTGATTGTTTTTGAGGAATGAGGATTGATATCTACCTACTATTTAATTTATCAAAATCATAATATGTTTCTAAATTAAAACTGCACTTAAAATCGCTTAGAAGATAAACTTCATTCATAAAAGAGTTCTTAGACCAATCATTTTGAGCTCGTTGGTGCCCTTGACTGGACCATTGTGAGCCGTTTAGCAGCAATGAAGTAATCGTTCAAATCATACAATGTCCACGATGACCAATTTACGTGCAGTTTTGACGTTTAAATAAAGAGAGCTGGCTTCGACCTTCTGTTAAGTAAACATCAGTTTCTCCGTATGCCCGCGATGATGCACAAGTTACGTAAATAACACGTTTTTATATATGTGCGTATGTATGTAAAGTTATATAGGACGAATGTGAGAATTGTGATGGCGACATCCGCACTTGTGAACGATAGCTTATTGTTTTTTTTCTGTATATTGGTATTTTTATAACCGTGACATAAAATCTTTTTGTTTTGAAATATAAAAGGTGTGACACTGTTCCTTATTTAAATACGGTAGTTTCCAACTAGTCAATATCAATACTTTTAACCAAATGTCAAAAACAATGCTTTTCTTTGAAATTTGTATGAAAAACTGAGTTATGACGTCAAAGTATTTTTGCGTCAAATAGCTTCCGTATTTCTTAATAATTAGCTACAAAATATCTAAAACTTAGTGTATCGATCGATCGATGAATAAAAGTAGTTATTTTTCAATATTTTATTGTATTGAAACGTCGAATTAATTAATTGTTGACCCAGGAAACTACCCAATTCTGACCTGTTTAATTGATTGAAATAATAAAAAGTACATATATATATTATAGTTAACTAGCTTTTGCCCGCGACTCCGTTCGTGTGGAAAAGTGACTTCCTGTAGATTTTGGTATAAAACTATCCTATGTCCTTTCTCGAGTTCCAAACTATGTCTGTACTTACCAAATTTCACAGAAATCGGTTCAATAGTTTATGCGTGAAGAAAAGACAGACAGAGTTACTTTCGCATTTATAATATTAAGTTTGGATGTTTTTCGCAAATATTTTAAACATGTAGATAGGTATAAAACCTCATTTATGAAATAAGGACTTACATGCATTTGAATCATATCATCTATCCACAAATTTAATGGTCAGTTTATATTGGTTATTTATTTTGATGACTTGCCGTGTCATTTTATGTGTACCTACCTACTTGTAACAAAATATTAACGAATAACCTCACAGTATTAAAATTAAAAACTTATAATTATTAATGATTATCCTAGAATGTATTAGTAATTTACCTATAAATAAACTATTATATTATAAATAGTTTAGTTATTCTCAATATTAATTCCAATTAATTTTATTTACATCTAAGTATATCAATTAACAAATATTTAAAAGGCACAAGGATAAATTATTATTAGTATATACCTTATGTGTCTTGTATACATACATATGTTTAAATATCGTTTGCTTAAGAGGAAATATTTCTATTTATTATTTATAGTTCATATACCTACCTATATTTGAGATTTATACAGAAACAATAAACAGTTATACTTATATATTATAGATAGTTAGTAAATATTTTATTAAGGACGGTGAAGAATTTTCACGTAAGTTGTCACTTTTCGTCAGCTTAGTAAACTGAGCACCAACTAGTTTCATTTGAAAATAACTTTGTCAACAAATAAGTATACCAACCGTTGCTTGAGTGGTTGCTATTGAAAACGAATATGGATTTTTATTTTTTTTATTTTTTATTGAAAAAAATCTTTGTCAACACAAATTATTTTTATACTTAGTATTTTATAGGATGACGATTAGCTGATGGTAAGTTATTGGAGCCGTCCATAGACACTCGAAACACCAAAGGAGTTGCGAGAGCGTTGGCGGCGTTTTGGGGATAGGGGTTTCAGATAATTAAGGATTGGGAAGGAATGGGGTGACAGGGAGGGATTGTGCCTCCGGTAGCCACACGCATACGGTGAAACACAACGCTGTGATTGTTTTAAGCCGTGATATTATCACTTTAGACAAGCTGACCAATTCGTGCGGAAGCGTGGCGTTCCCAAATTAAGAAAGACATTAATTTACTATTGTATTAATAACCTTTTTCATGTATTATTTGAATAAAGGTGTTTTGTTACGTAGTGACAGCTGTCTGCTTATTCTGTTACCATTAAAAAAGAAAGATATGAAATTAAAATCCTCGTGAAAACAAGGGTTTAATATAGATTAGCAGACGCATGAATATAATTTGTAAAAGGGACGCATATTTAAATAACGCGTAGGTCTAAAACAAAACCCCACTTAGCTGAAGATTAAATTATGTGGACAAAGGAATATTATATAATTTTCCCACGAACGAGAAAAAGATAATGGCGTCTTTTCTGCTCGTAATAATGTTATATATTGTTTAAGTGTCATTATTTTATGTAGCTATTATTAGGTATATTTTTATTTCCTGAACCACTTGATATTTCTACAAGTTGCGTTAAGAATGCCATATAATATAATGGAGACTTAATTATTGGTAACATTGAATGTACAAAGATACTGACAGACTTTGGTTTTTGAAGGTGGAAATCAGTATTTGACTTTTTTCATCGTGGATGGGGCGAGACTTTTGCTGACTTAAAAACGCCCCCTTTCTTCTTCTGCTCCAGGTCAGGGCCGCGATACATAATGCGCTTGCCCTGCAAAACCAGATGGAGCTGACAGATCTAAGCATACACTTCCAAAAGAACATTATCCCTTCGCTGTTTTTAAATTTGTCGAACTTAAGAAGTCTTCAGAACTACGACCCGGTTTCTTCTGGAAAACATCAGACTTCACTTTGACTTTGACGGGACTCTATTGGTTATTCGCTCGATAGTAAACACTAAAACGCTCTTACTATTTCGTGTTTCTGCAATATATATTCGGTATGCTCAAGTTTATAGCACCTCCACAATATCAACACCTTCTATAACATCACTTTAACATTTAAATTCCTAATAAAAGGAACCTGGAGCTACAGAGTTCACAAACTCAAGACCTCTTCTTCTGGTTCTAAGTTTCGCAAACGTCTCCTCAACCAATAAGGCATTTAAAAACTTCGATGTTTATAACAGTAGGTAAGTAAATAAGAATGGTTTGCAATACATTACAAAAAACACAAACTATAAAATATCACACTTTAGAAGCAATGGCACAACGATTAATGATTATTAGTTCACTAAGTATGATTACAGAACAAGCACTTTCGCGCTAAATAATCAACTGACGATTGGCCACAGAATACAATGGGTCGCTGACCTTTTGACAGCACAATTAATTGTTCCAATTTCTCTTTTGTTAATGGCCAAGACCGATTGACATTTAAGTCAGGTATGGGTTATTAACCTTTTTGGTCGATCATACTTACATGTACGCCTTTTAATTCCCGGAATAGTGACAGAGAAACCAGCAACATATTCAGTAGATACGTTATGAATCCTATGCAATAATGGTTTTCATGGTTTAGGATATTGCCGTCCGTCGGTTGGTCTTTGTCGTTTAGAAGTATCCAGCCAGTAAGTAGCGGGTGCAAGCGTAATGATGCCAGTACTTCAACCCAGGTTGGAGTAGGAGAAAGGTTTTAAGTTCTGGGCATTCACGTCGTGAAAAGTTTTTGGATAATTTGCCTCCTTAAATAAAGTCTATTTCCGAACACAAAGCACAATTCCGTTCCTCTCAATAATCCTGATATAGATGTTAAAATAGCCATTTAATCAATCAGCTAGCCCTTTGATCGCATTACAATTTGAGTAGCTGTTTATTTGTGGTTTCTGTGCAGTTCACCGCTGTTCTTACCTACCTCTAACTTACCTGGTAGTAACTCTGTGTTTATGACAATTCCTGTTAGGTTATAAATTTTGTAGTAGGATTTCCGTTGTCACAGATGACAAGTTTATGAAATGTTTAGTTTTTCCGTCGCTTGACGTATGGTAGTTGTTTTTTCGTTCTGTTGTCAATATTTTCTATGCCAAAGAAAATAATAAAGAAATCTTACTTAATTGGACGTATTAATTAAAATAACTTGAATCCTTTACCCTTCAACTTACAGTGTAAGTATGAGTCATTCAGGCCATTGATAGGATGGCTAATTCAACTATATTTGGCAGTGACATATACAGTAATAATACTTTTCCCAACCTGACAATAAAACCCCTGGCTAACGATGTAATCAATAACATTTTCATAATTACATATAAATATTACATCTCTCGATGATTTCCCAGAAGATAGTGTAACACGATAGCCTATTAGTAATTGGTTTACACGTGTTGTACAATGATCCATGTATTACTAATTAATTAACTGTAAAGTATACAGTCTCTGTATTATATCTATATTTGAACACGTTTGTGGATCACTCTACATACTTCCCAAAATATTTTCTATAGACAAATTACTTTTAATTTTAACTATGTATAGCCGAAAGAGTGCAAATAATATATAACAAAACAATATATAATATAACAAATACATAACAAAATACACCAAATACATACAGTAAAAAATACAATGTAATAAGATACATTTATATATGTATATAAGGATCAACACTTTTATTTTAATGCGGCCAGTATTTTCTTCTGTGTCGTGTAGGTATGCGTTTACAAAAAAATCGTATACAAAATATATGGTAAATTTGGAAAAAAAATATAGAATTACACAAAGAGTTATTCTGTCTGTGTAAGAATCTAACCAAATTCACCAAATTGTATTGCAGAGAAGTCATTTGATGATTTTCCATTCACAAAAAACTAGAGTAGTATGTATTATTGACCAATTAAGTGTGAGAGAGCCATGCTTCGGCACGAATGGGCCAGCTCGACCGGAGTGATACCACGGCCTCATAGAAAACCGGCGTGAAGCAACAGTGAGGTTAGCGTAGCCGAGGCCGAACCCCTCCCCGTCCCCATACTCAATCCACAAATCCTCTCCTTAAATTCCTAATAACCCACAATAATAATGGCAACGCACTTGTAGTAACTCCTTTGGTACTACGAGTGTCTATGGGCAGCGCTGATTGCTTACCACCAGGTAATACTTCTGCTTGTTTAACCTATGACATAAAAAAAATGTTTCATTGTGTAAAGAGGCACAAAATATAATTAATAAGATTTCAATTTAACTTTACCAGGTTTATAAGAAATTGTGAAATAAGCGGAATATTGGAAAAGAAAAAGAAAGGAATAAGGCCTTGTAAATATGATGATGTTGTATTTATGCGGGCAATGATTATTTTTCCATGTCGATGCAAGATTTAGAGGTGTGAAAATATAACGATACCATAAAGTACCTATAAGTTAAAGGATCTGCTAATAGAAATCTGATAGGTATCATCCAATTATTGTTGACAATCTTAGTTTGGTTTGAACCATTTATTTTACAAATTCGATGTAGAGACCTTTGGAATCTATTCGTGTTCTAGTCACACCAACTTACGCGAACCGCCGGGAACGAATTGAAACTAAACGAACGCCTCTAAAAAAATGGCGGCACAACTCTTTGAGACATTGTGTTTTTAAAATTTTCATATCATATGTCGGCAAACGAGCAGGCGTATTACCTGATGGTAAGCAATCAGTGCCACCCATGGACACTGTTAAATACCAAAGTTGATACGTCTAGAGCGTTGCTGGCCTCTTGTGGGTTATTAGGGTATTTAAGGATAGGAAATTTTAATATTGAAAATTGGAGGGAGGGGAGGGAAAGAATGGGCCGTAGGTAAGTGTTGCTTCACACCGCTTTTCTGTGAGGCCGTGGTATCACTCCGGTCGACCGGCCCATTCGTGCCGAAGCATGGCACTTTGGCTCTTCTACATTTTTTTATTTGTTTTATTTAACTGCTGTACTAGAACAATATTTATTACCTACACAAAGTAAATGTACTAAATAATATAAATAAATATACACTGTCTATAACTCGCGTCGCTCAAGTACATATATATATTAAGTTCCATTGTGACTTGAATCTAGTAGAGCCAATGATATTATAAGTAAAAAGGTATAGATAGGTCATAAGCGCTCAGCACTGCAAGTGATACCTTAGACACACTTTTTATATTTGTCTCTTTTTAACTCACGATTATTGAATCCTGCCATCCCACTTTGACGTCTAATCATACGAATTGTTCATGTGTGCATCAGTGTGCCGTTTTTGAAAATCGAATGTTGTTTATGTAACCTATCTACACCATTTTACTTATAATATCATTGAGTAGAGCTGTTCTCAGTTAATTCACTTGACTAAGTCGGTATTTTTAATAAATTTTGTATATCTATAGTCAGGTATTATATAATAAACAATTATTTGGTATGTGGTCCTACTTTTTACCTGTATAGCTGTTCTGCAACCTTTGATACCTACATAATCAAAATGAGCAACTTGTTTTTGCTAATGTAGGTACAAATACATGCATGTGTAGCGTTCTATTTTTTAATTGTTTTCTTTTACAAAGCACGTGTTTTGGCGGGAATATCCCAGCTGTTGAGACTGGTGAACGAACCTGTATCAAAACTGGGGAAAACCATAAACAAAAATATTCTAGCTAAGCGCTAAGGAGGTTACATTAGGTGTCTGTGTGTTGAGTCACGTGTAACTTTCCAATGAACATCTCCGCAACATCTCCAGAGTTAGGAAAACAGGTTTGGTACACATCGATAGAGCAGTCTGTTTTGTGACGTCCTTTTTATCAAAAACTAGCTTTTTTAATGAGGCTTTGCCCACGTCATTTATCGTATGTCCTTGTTCGTACTTCCAACCGTAGGTATGCAAAAAATCCAATAAGATTTGTTGTATTGAAGTAACAAACAAACAAATAAACCCAATTTCAATACATACTTATGTAAATAAAAATATTTTGCTGCATGTTGATTTTAAAATACGCCAAAATAAAATAAGATTTATTAATATATTAATTTATATCTAACAGTTTTAACAATAGGTCACAAGAATGTTATGGTCGAAAAAAATCTCAAGCTTGTGAAAAGAAGCCGTGGTACAATAAAACGGGGAAAATGCAAAAATAAAAAGCAAAATACAACACAGATAAATTGATAACGAAAGATGATCTCCGGCCACCGTAAGCGCGGGTTGTGGACGGCGAGTACCTAAGGGTAGCTCGCCGCCCGACCAGAACCATACCCGAGCGTACGGCGCGTAGCGTTCCGCGCGCGCCTCAAAGAGCCAATAGACCACCACAGACGGGGCTGGTGTTCAGCCGGGGTTGCGGGGTAAGCGCAATGAGGCACCGTGACCTCGGCCCAGAGCAGGAGAAGAAACAGGGGGGTTTTTAGTCAGTAAGAGTCTGACACTCCCTCCCGCCCGACCCTGGGCAGGAGAAGTCATCTGATGATTTTCCCTTCTCAAAAAAAAAGATAAATTCATAAAAACCAGTACGTGACAATAAGTAAGAAAGACAATCTGACACACATACGTAATGTGCACACATTCCGACCTTGATTAAATTTAAAAATCACAAAATCAGCTTAAAAACTAACACAACATCTGTATATAAAATGCAACGATGTATTTTTTTTTTTTTTTTAAATAATTTATTCAGTAAAGTTACAGAAAAGTGTCCTTATCATCTAAACTCGCCAAACTTTAACGTTTGATGGCGAGAGGCGCTCTTTATACAATAACATATTAAAATTTATACATAATAGGGAATTTAGTACCTAGGTGCAATTACTTGGGTTTTTTTCTTTAAAATTTAAATATCCCTATTTTATGCATACTATGTACTTATAGCTAGGTATGAAACAGTTTATATAATAATTATTATTGACTAACATAACAAACAAAACATAAAAACACACACAAACATAACATTCTTACTTCTTATTAATAATCTAATATAAAGCTTTTTAATTTTGACTTAAGAGATCCTTTGGGTAACTTTTTCCCTTCTTCTCTTAGCATCTCTATTTTATTAAATATATTAGGAACTAAGTATGCGGATGTTCTCTTGCCATAATAATTTTTTATCTCTGGTAATATTAGTTTTTTTTCTCTAACCCTACGCGTATTATATTTGTTCTTTACATTAACTTTATAATCGTCATTAAAATAGTATTGCAAACCTACTAAATAATCTACTTTTTTGTCTATGGGTAAAATTTTACAAATAGAAAATAACTTATCATACTCTTTTTTGCAACTATCTTTAACATTTTTACTTACTAGGAACTTTATCAGTCTTATTTGTATATCTTTAATGTCTTTTATATATGTAATAAATGTTCGACCATACACAAGGAGGCCATAACTTATTAACGAATCTGTCTGTATGAATACTTACCTACAAGCGAGGCACAACAATCTATTTAAAAAAGTGTAAACTTTACGACTTATTGTAATTCTTCAAATTTAAATCGATTTGCCTCACAGAAAACACGTTACAATTTTTTGCAGGTTTGTTTGCAAAAACGGATAAACAACCAGCGGGATTGACTTGATGTATGATACGATATTGGATAAAAAAATCATCATCATCATCAGACTATAAGTGCCCACTGCTGAGCAAGGGCCTTTTCTCACAACCGTTCTCCGTGCATGTGAGCATGAATCACTAAGCATGCTCCAGGCGGATTGGCAATTTCAAACTTATAATTCAAAATTATAAGTCCAGGTTTTCTCAAGTTGTTTTTCCCTTCACCGTGTGTAAGTGGTCTCTAAATTAATCTAAAATATCTAAAAGTACATATAACTCGGGAAAGTCACATTGGTACTTGTCAGGTTTCGAAACCACCTCATGCATGAGAAGAGGGTATCTTAAACACCTGGCCACCATTGCGGACATAAATAAAGAGTATCTAAGTCATGATCTAAGCACGATTGATTTATCAATAACTAGCTACACTCGCGCGGTTTTCTCCTCTCCATTTAATAGTAGCGTGATGTTTTATAGCCTATAGCATTCAAGAACATTGTAGCTATCTATCAGTGAAAGAATTTTGGAAATCCGAACAGTGGTTCCAAAGATTACCCCCTACATACAAACTTACAAATTTTACCTCTTTATAATATTAGTATAGATTTACATAACATAGCGGCTATTCAGGCATTATTAAACGGGCCTGTTTAATAATGCTGTTGAATAGCCGCTATGTTTTCTACTGTTTACACACAAATTATCGAAGAAGAAGAAATCCTCTTCTATTATTAGACTACTATTCTACTATTTACTTGGGTGTCTATTTCAAAAGTATGTTTATATAGAACAATGTTCCCATTGATCTTCGTCCGTAAACTAGTAATTTTGACTTCCTTAGCTCGTCGTTTAAAACTAACACTTGGTTTCTTCAAATCATATCATATCATATCTTTGAGTTTCTAAGAAAAAACGGTCGTGATACTATGCTACGCTGTGTTAATCGTTATAACTATAACCAATAAAAATACAAGGAAAATACATATGTACAAATGTCTTGATGGTAGAAAAAATATATATGTAAATAAGTATGAAGTTCAAATTGTTTATCTGGAAATCGAATTGGTTTTGTTTCGAAAAACACTTGTGTACAAACAACTAAATTAGTTGCATCAACAAGTCTGTGAATTCAAACAAAAAAATTAATTAATTGCTTTAAAGAATTATTTACTTATTTCCTCTGATGTGTGTATGTTTTGTTTCTGTTTTCCTTTAATTATATCCTGGTTTTCTTCAACCTTTTGATATTTGTCGAAACTTGACAGAGTTGTGTTTTGCCGTGTGTGTGGGGTTGCTAGAGGCCTAGCCGTTCTTCAAGTCCTAATTCATCCCCAATATCCCTAAATCTCCTAAACCCTAATCCCCAAAAGGTCGGCAACGCACTCTTCGGTAACTTCTCCATTGTTGAATTTCATCAGGAAATACGTCTGCGCGTTTGCCGTCCTGTTACATAAAAAAACTTAATTAAAGTAGATTAAGTAGCTATTCACCCTAATATAAAGTACGTGATAAACTTATACATATGTCACAAGGTTCTTGCAAATTCCATTCTATTTTCAAAATTTTATATAATATGACGGCTATATAGACAACAGGTTCTAAATAAGTTACTGAGTAATATCCTATCACGAAATTAGTAGTTTCGATAATATAATGTAAACAATATGAAATGGATTATTGATCCGTGTGATGAGGGGATTAAGAGCTTACCAGTCTTACCACTATTATAATTGCTTTAATGTAAGGTGGATATTGTATAACATTATTTCAGTGGCTTTTCAAGATCATATCGTAAATTAAATGGGTAGCTATATTTGGAGATGGCGATAGGAAAGAGACCTTGTTATACTGACTGCGGCCCTATTGGGCTATTGGTCTTTTAGAACACTACATACCATACGCTCGGGGCTTTGATTCTGGTCCTAAGGCGAGCTACCCTTGCTCGTCGTCCGCAGACCCGCACTTACGGTGGCCGGAGATCGTGACGCAAACCCCAAACGCCTTAAATCATTTTATGTAAAGACTTTTTGATTATTATAGACAGCCTTATCAATATTTTTTTTATAATAAAATTCTTCAGGTTCGTTAACTAAGACCACAAATAAAGCTTCAGCTTCGATCCTTAATAATTTAGGACACGGTTGCCTCCAATTATCGTTGGCGAATTAATAACGTTGTTTTAATTATTGTACTATGTACCGTCTCTTGGGATTTCAATTCAATTTCAAGGTAATTATTTCGTGACGGTAAATAATATATGTTTTACCATAAATAGGTAAATATGTAATTACCATAATTCACATGTTTACCTAATGGGTTTACCGTAAAATCCCATGTGATGGTATCAAGGATTTTTTTGCCTTTGTGTAGAATTTAAAAGGCCACAGTATATTAAGCTGTTCAGCCCCGGTTGCGGGTGCAAGCTTAATTTAATAAAACAAAATGTAAACGTATGTATATGTACTGCGGCCCCAACTCATAGTAGCAAGGGGGCGTTTTTTACTCAGTAAGAGTCTCAGAGACTCCCGTGCACTCTACCCTTGGCAAGAGAAGTAATTTGACTATTTTCCACTTAAAAAGCCCCGGCCTGGAGAAGGCCACACTTTGGCCCACCCAGAGAGTCTATCATTATAATTATGTATATCCTATTTATTTTCCACCCTCTTCTTTCGATTTCAGATTTGATCTAGGGTATGACGATTTTACAATTTTACAATTTTGTTTAGATCAAGAATGATTACCTATAATGATAGATAAATAAAATAATTACTTTTTAAAATAAGTTTTAAAAGCATTAGTTTATATAAACACATACTAAAAGCATATGTTTAAGCATATGTTATTTTAGTTGGAAAAGATGTTTTTTTGACTTTTGACTTTATTAAACCAATTAAAGTTTACGAGTAGAGAGGCTACGTCAGTTGTAAATTATTAAACATTTTATTATACAAGTGACGTCATGAGGTGTTTGTAAACTGTGTATCGCACGTAACGTAACGTAAGTTTTGATTTATTCAAATTAATATACCTAATAGTTCATTTATTATTTTATTTTCGTGTTAAATTATCCTCACCTGTTGGTGGACTGTGCACGATACAGGTGAGAAAATTGAATTGGATTTAATAGAATTCTTTTTGTCTTTTAAAATTTCTTTATCCTAGAGAATAAGGCTTTCAAGATATTTTGTCCAAGCTTGGCAATGAAAATGCTATATATTATGAATTTGTTTGTGATTTAAAAGTAGATGGTCTCCTTTACTGCGTTCTGTTTTAAGGGTAGGATGATAGTGACATAATCATGCTTCTTCTGTGTCATCAGACACAGATATCTATTACTCAAAAGATATTTCAAAATATTTTCATTTTTTTTATTTATTGTGGAAGTAAGCTTTATGTTTATATGCCTTCCTACGGGTTTAATGTTGATACTAAATTTCATTAATGTTATTATACATTATATTAATAATAACATTCATGAAATTTCCACACTTTCTTCAGTCTTTTATAAAAACCACATCCAAATCCGTTGCGCAGTTTCAAAGGTTTAAGCATACATAGGAATATAGGGACAGAGAAAGTGACTTTGTTTATACTATGTATGTAGTGATACTATATTGATTGTCGAAGTTTGCTTATAAATAATATGTAATCCATAATAAGCCTGATACAAAATCTGTCATTTTTATATTACAAGTTTCGTGTAAAGGTTTGTTATTTTGATTTGTGTTAACAATTTTGGATTTTAGTTTCCCATGATATTTATGAAATGTACATAGGCTCAAGCATTATAACTGTCAATTAGGGGAGACATATTATTTAAATATTAAAGACGCGCGTTATTCACGCGATATGTGTAGTTCCGGAAGTGGGTGTTCAAAGTAGGTTGTTGTTAATTGTTGTATCGACGAAATCGTACCAATCCACGACGAAGTTTCTAATCTTTTATTAAAAAAAAAAACTCATGAGCAGCCTATAAATGTCCACAGCTGAGTACACGAAGATGGTTTGAACATAAATCGCGCGTGCTCAAAGCAGAGAGGGTATTTCAAACTTATAATTTAGAAATGATAAGTGGAAGTGTTCCAAAGACGTTTTCCTTTGCAGATAGTCATTGGTGTCTAAATATAGTTAGAAAGTACCTACATATAGTAAGTAAGTATAATTCGGAAAATGTCACATTGGTATTTGACAGGCTTCGAAGCCACTCATGCATGAGTAGCAGGCGTCTTAACAATACAATAGCATTAAAGTATTCATCATTGTGTGATATTTGAAATAGATAGTCGTCTGCATTCGGAGACAGTGATGTACGGATGGTGTTTTTTTATATGTAAGAGGTCTGCAAATGAGCAGTTGGATTACCTGATGGTAAGCAATCAGAGCCGCCCATGGACACCCGCAACGGAGGAGTTACGAGGGCGTTGCCGACCGTTTAGGGATTAGGAATTTGGAGATTTTGGGATTGAATAGGGATTGGGGGAGGGGATTAGGATTGAGCCTCCGGTAACCACACGGCGAAACACAACACGCCGGTTTTCTGTGAGGCCGTGGTATCACTCCGAACGAAGCATGGCTCTCCTACACTTAAGATGATAATAAATAAATAGCTTTTTTAAGTGATAAGATGGAAAACGAGACGACGTGTTACCTGATGCACTCAGTGCCGCCCATGAAGGAGGAGTTACGAGTACGTTGCTGACCTTTTGGGATTCGGAGAAATAGGAATTGGAGAGGGGAGGGGAAGGAATGAGCCTCCTTTAACACCTTAAGTTTCTTCGATTACAAAATCACCAATTTGAACGTGTAATTTTGACTTAGTAACAAAATTCTTGCGGTAGCTAGTAAATTATTGTGTTTAAAATATATTTTGCCGATGATTGACTTGCTAGTGTCATTAAATACATACGTAGGTATGCATGTTGCAATAATTTCGCAACCATAGTGTCATTTCAGCAGTTTAGTTTTAAAGTAGGTGAATTATATGAACATTAAGATTGGTAGCTTTTAACGGAATTACTGGTACCTTAGTGAGTTAAATAGATGATATTAAATTTCGGAGATTTTCTGGTACGACTATGTTTAGGAACAGGTTATTTGGAGTACTATAATCTAAGTAAGCTTAGGTGTGGTTACAGCCATATTTCGGTATGAAGCAGTTCGGCTAAACCGGAGTGATACAGCAATCTGGTTTGAAACAACCAAAGCGGAGTGTGAAGGATATCACCGGAATCCCAATCCTTCCCCTCTCCCCATCTCGCCCCAATCCCTAAGATCCCAAGAAGCTGGCAACGCACTTGAAACTCCTCTGGTGTTTCGGTGTCGATTGCGTACAGCGTATCGGTGATTCGTAAGTCAGTTTGTCGCCGCGCCATATCATAAAAAACATCGATGAATACATTCGCAATTTAACTTAATATTATAAAGTGTAAGTTTGTATGTAGGGGGTATTGTTTAGAATCGCTGGTCCAATTGCCAAAATTCTTTCACAGATAGATAGCTACAATGTTTCTGAGGGCTATAGGCTATAAAACATCACGTTACGATCATTTGGAGCCGATCAGCTAGTGAAACCGCGCGAGAGTAACTAGTGTGTAATATGAATGGTAGAGTCAGTCAAGTTATTTAGTCGTACACACCATATACAGTAAAAAAAAAAGCATATATACGGTCGAATTGAGAACCTCCTCCTTTTTTTGGAAGTCGGTTAAAAATAAACAAGAAAAACATATAATAACAATTTATTTCCGCCATTTGCTAAGAAATTCCCCTATAATCTTTATCTATATGATAACAGATGGTATTTAGGATACTTTCTTAATAGGTATAGGTAATAAAAAATATACGGCTTGATAAGCCGAAATGATAACTATTACCAGATTTACTGCCGACCGATAAAATGGTACGGACGAATGTTCAAAACATTAACAATTTACTGTTTAAGAAAGATTTTAAAATTCACACATATTTTGTTCTTGTGAGGGGAAAATCATCAAATGACTTCTCCCGTCCAGGGTCGGGCAGGAGGTAGTGTCAGACTTTTACCAAATAAAATAAATTGGAATATATAAAAATATTATGTATGTGTCGCGGGTTTTCCAAGCGATTCCCGCACAACTACCTACTTCTTTTTGTGTGATCCACAAGTAGTCGTTCCGGTTCTGGGTCTGGGTGTGAGGTGTGATCATGCGTGTACTGTATGTTTTTAACACATTCAGTGCCCCCGACGCGTATGTGCGTTTCCTTAAACGCACATACGCGTCGGGGGCACTAGATGTGTTAAACGCACAGGAGAAAATCGTAGTGGTAACGTATTTAAAAACAAAAAATACCCCCCTTAGATGTTCGTTCAAAACAAAAGCTGCCTCTCCCTCGGCAGGAAAGATGGCGCCATTTATATGCAAGGCTTTAATTACATTAATAAGCTTCGCAGAAACTCGTGGGTGGACATAACATTTTGCAGATAGTCAACTCATTTTTTATTCATATACATTTTCCACGTTATACAATTAGCAATTGGAATGGAATTAACAAGAAATGTAAATCGATAACCCAGGTGACATCACAAATGACAAGCGTTTCTTTTTTGAAATTCAAATATGTAATTTGTTTATGGCATTTTTTCTGAATAGCCATTTAATAGTGGTAATTTTTTTCACTTTGCCTGGTGGTCTCATAAGGGATTGTCTACATAAAATATTTGTCAATTAAAAAGAACAAAAATGACAAGTATAATTTTAAATAGTGCATGTTAAAGAATGAGTTCCTAGTGCAAGTTGGAATAACGTTAGGGTGATCGACGAGTTTATGACGTTCTGCGCTTTGATTAGCCTGTTCCTGTATCTAACCAATCAGAAGGTTTTAAGCCAGGTGTTCTAAGTGCCTAAGGTAAATTTTCTTCAGGCTAACACTATCGAAACTTTACCGTGTTTAGCTTTATTGGTTAATTGTCTTTGCGCTGGCCAATCAAAGGCCAAAGGCAATTTGCGCGGAAGGCCCAAAACATGTCGATTGCGTTAACATTAAGCAAACTAGCACTAGGCACTCAAGTATATTAAAAGTCACTAACCGCTAATAAAAACTTGCCTAACTAATAATTAGTTTGGTAAAAATTGTATTCAAAATGAACTCTAAACTTGGCTTTACCAGGCTTTGAATGTAATCCGTTAGATTTGAAAAGCAAAATCCCTAAAGCCAGTTTTACGCGGCTTCTGTATTTCGCAATAAAGAATTTAGTTATTTTATAAATCTGTATTTACAGAAATGTTTTAACAAAAATTGTTGCTTCGTACTCGAAACTATGCGAATGATTCAGTTAGTAAATAGTTAGGCAGAAATACCTATGCGAGTATCTCGTGTCATACGATATTCAATTACAATCAACTAGCCAAAACAACTGACTCACGTTGTAGACATACGCCAAGCTGGGCATTGGTGAGGGTAGTGAGGTGCAGAAACAGGTCTCAGTAGTCCACAGGCCATGCAACACTCAACGTCACCTGCTTGCAAGAATCGTACGAAACAAACTCAGCGTGCAGTTTCCATAGTAGATAAGCCGTGTCTTCAAATTTCTTTTCGTAATTCTATTGATATCTCGCTCTACCTCATAAAATCACAGTTAGAGTAAAAGAGAGCGACGCCACACAATTTGGCGGCAAGAATGTTCTATACTCGGCTAGGTTCGGTACAGTTCGTTGGAAGTCAGCGGTAGTCGTAGCCGGTAGCTCCGCTGAGCAGCCGCGCGCACTCCCTTCGGGCCGCCGCGCGCTTCGCTCCGCACACCGCCGCTATAAACAAATCAAATACCCCTCACATAAACACATTAATTGTTCAATGAAAACTAACGAAAGCCTACTTGTTGGTACCGCAGCTCGCTCCGATACTACCTGAGGCGCAGTGGACAGTAAATCTAGCCGACCGGCCGCAATGAATTTAGACAATAATAAGGCTAGGTTAAAAGCTATGCTATTTGGATGTTTGCAGTGAAAGGAACCGTCGAAAGTGGCGATTCGGTGTGTAACTGTGTTGCGGTCATTTTATATTAGATGAATAAGTGGAGCATCTGTCCGAGAGTGCATTATGTACTTGAGTTATGAGTGCCGGTGCTTCGCCGACTAGATTGTGCTGATTGAGTGCGAGCCAGTCCGAGCGGCCGCGCCGGCCCTGCTCGTACGAAACCGCTTCACTTCTCTGAGACCTCTTTGTATTCAAAGTACGTATTTTTCTTATTTAAATGTACTCTTACTGTTATCACTCGACGTCATATCGCTGGAGTTCAAGAGATTAAGTACGCTAAAGCAACTGAGATTATAAACTTTGAGTTTGTAAGAAGTATGACAACAAGCAACAAGATACTTTTACTATCTGATCTTTTATCAAATACTTAAGAGATTGGCAGTCGTATCGTTATTCCGTAGTAGATAGGTGTGTATAAGTGTATGAATGTTAATTGGAGACGGAATTTGGATCTTTGTTTACATAGATATGAGCGCACGAAGTAATTCGGTATGTGTTATCAAATACATATATCGACATCGTGTACATTATGAACGCAAACGAAAATGAACGCGGAAATCGGGGACAAAATTAATGTATCTTCTATAAATAAACGTAGAATAAATCGGTACTTCCGTAATATGCAACCACTGCGAACGTTTGTAACAGGAACATTGTCCGTAAAATATTTTCAGGAAAATACATCGTTACATTTGTCAAAACAAAATTTGAAATGTAGCTACTCTTATCCTTCTTTAGTACCTACTTCACATCACATCACATCATCAACCCATAAGTGTCCACTTCTGAGCAAAAGCCTCTTCTCAGACGGATAAGGTCTGAGCAATTATCACCACGCGTGCTCAAGGCGGATTGGCGATTTCAAACTTATAGTTTGAAATTGTAAGTCTTAAGAATTCCTCGCTATATTTTCCTTCATCGTCATATGTCAGTGGTGTGTAAATAATCATAGTTCTGTTCTGATTCAGTAGCACTTATTGAAACAAAATAAATTTTAACATAACACGTTGGTAATATAATTAATTTTAAATTTTTTAATGTCCGTAAAGAAGCGGCTACTTTTATTTAGTACAATTTATCTAGTATCGGTACAGTATCGCAAGAATTATGGCGATTTGAAAAAAATGTTACAAGTTACCGAAAATTTTGTAATTACATATGTATCATTAACGTTACGATTTTATAATGAGTATTTATTCAAACCTTTATAGTCAGGTAACTAAAGCTCTTAGATTCTAGACTAACATAAATATTCTAATATATACAGTTTATGTTAGTAAATAAACTCAAGCCTATGTCCGTAGATATAGTATAATAGTCCGCGGAATTGACGGAGCAACAACTCTCTGTCGCCTAAAATCCTCCTAGAATAAGGTGTAGGTCACATTGCAGCATTCCCACCTTATAAACATCGCAAAGAATAATTAACATTTATGTTCTTACCCAAATATGTTAAGAATAAGTGCTAAAATGAATAAGGAAGATAATAAGAAAAGAAGTACTGTTATGAATCTTATTAATAAACCTACGTAATTGTATTAATGATCTAGTCTTGTATTATGTGTTACTTAACACTTGTTATCACAGTTATTAACTTGATTGTGAGGTTTCCTATTGTCTCTTGAAGCCACTTTATTCTTAATGAAGGTCGTCATTCTTGTACTTAATCGGGTTTTCCATTTTTATAATTACTGTGAAGTATTTGATGAATGGAAAAATGTATTTTTTATGTTATATAAGTACTATATAACTTAGTACCTTTTAACATAAAAAATAAACACATTAACACTACTTACCTTTTTTATCAGAATCAGTTAAGCAGTTTAGACACATTCGCAGGACAGACGAACAAAAACAAATTCGCCTTTGTACATTATACATGAAATTTAAATGTTGATATAACATTAATCATATTTAATAATATTAAATTTAATTATACTATGCAAAAAAAATCCAAATCAATGATACAAGTATCCCAAAACGAGTTAAACAAATTTGTCTTTTTTGTGTAATTGTTACCTGGTCTACCTACCTAACTGGCCACCATACAGCTATAGCTAATTTGTGTCGTTAGGGCTATTGTTAAGTACCAGTTTTTTTTTTCAAAGTAAACTGGACTTTTTTTGTCCTGTAACAAACATGGCGGGGCAAAATATGGGTCGCAGTTTCGATAACTAGATCTTGAATATTATAATGACAAAGGTTGACTAAAAATGATGTCTTAATTAATTATTATTAAATATCCAATGGCAGATACATACGGTGAAGGAAAACATCGTGAGGCAATTTGAATTTTTAAATATAAGTTTGAAATCGCCAGTCTGTCTTGAGTAAGCGTGGTGATTAATGCTCAAACCTTTTCCGTGTGAGGAGAGGCCTTTGCTCAGCAGTGGGCACTTATAGAGTGATGATGTGATGTTATGTGAAGTGGCAAATACACACTTGTGGGTAATCTGGACTTCTTTATTTTAGTAATATTATTATTTTATAAAATTGTGATGTCCATACTATGATTCTCAATATTAAAAAATGCCAATATTTATACTATGCAATTAAAACAGGTCTACGAACAATGCAAATGAAAATGAAGCCAAATATATTTTGTTAAAATATGTGAACATTAAAATATTTCGTAGCACCCTGTAGTGTGGCGTATAATTCTTGATACTTTGACCCTCGTTCCGTAGTTGCAGTGCTATCGGAAATTGCTTGTGGGGGTTGTCAATTTGCCTCCTCAAGGGGAGCGCTACTTGAAAAGTAGTTTAGGGAAAGTTATATATAAATTCAATGCCTAATTTTAATAACACATCCTAAAGTTTCAAACTAGCTTATCTGAGAATGATATTGTTTTGCTACAGCTATTCGTGAAGAGCTAGAACAAAAAAAAAGCTAAAAAATCTTGCCACATATTAAAAACTAACTACTTTTGCGCTTATTCATTCTCTGCTTTGCTCCTACAGATCGTAGCATTGTTATGATGTTTTATAGCCTATAAGCCTTTCTCGATTTAGGACTAACAAACAAATAAATAATTGTTCAATTTAAACCAGTAGTTCCGGAGATTAGCGCGTTTAAATAAACAAACTCTTTATAATAATATATACTAGCTTTTGCCCGCGACTTTACCTCCTGCAGGTTTTTTGTTTAAATACTGTCTGTCCTTCTCGAGTTCCAAACTATGTCTGTACCAAATTTTATACAAATCGGTTCAGTAGTTTAGGCATGAAGAAAAGAGAGACAGACAGACAGAGTTACCTTCGAATTTATAATATTTAGATTAGTATAAATAATAAGCAATATTGTTTTAATTCTTAGTAGGTGTAAGTAAGCAAAACTGCAAGACATTAAACAATAATCGAGTAATTAATACAAGTAAGAAATACCTTAAAATTCCAACTGATTGGTACAAAATGCGATTGCTAAGCAAATTGTTCTATTTGACCAACGAAGCAGTTACACTATCAACGATAATTTCCATTTACAGCCGTATATGAAAACAGTTGTACATGTTTTCGTGACAAACATACATAAATTTGAATACGATAGTAACATACCTACCTAACTACGTTCAGCAACTAATTTTCCTTTCACGACAGAATATTTAGGTACAGAATCATAATTGTTTTACTGACATTTTGATTCTGTTATTTATTCAAATTATAAATTTTAGTTTTTACTCTTTCTAAGGTCATTTCGACGACACACGGAAAAGGAAACATGCTAAGGAAATTTGGACTTAAAATTTCTTATTCTAAGTTTGAAATAATTAATCCGCCTTAAGCAAGCGTGGTGGCACTTCTTCTCGACGTGAGGAGAGGCTTTAGGTACTTATCAGCTGGTGATGATGATGATGATAAAGATGAGAAGTTAGAGAATCTTAAACTCTGTATAGCCATCAGTTACGATTATTGACTGATGAGGTACGATATACAAACCGATAAAGTTTACAGGGAGTTAGATGCAGATGGATTCTAACACGCCGATTAAGATCATTGGGGCCATTCAACATAGATTTTTTATGTGATAGGTCGGCAAACAAGCTTACGGATAACCTGGCGGTAAGCAATCAGCGCTGCCCATGGACGCCCGCAACGACGGAGAAGTTATGAGTGCGTTGCCGACCTTTTGAGGATTAGGGATTTTGAAAAAGGGAACGGATTAGGTTAGGGGAAGGATTGGGCCTCTGGTAACCTCACTTACACGGCTAAACACAACTATGCGGTTATTTCACGCCGGTTTTCTGTGAGGCCGTGGTATCACTCCGGTCGAGCCGACCCATTCGTGCCGAAGCATAATAGGAGGACGATAACCGATATGTTTATGCTGCGTATTCATATTTTTTGTTCACAACGATTTAACCGACAACTAATCGATTGAAAACAAAAATGTTAAGATTTTTACTACATGTTATCACGAAGTGGACACAAGTACACGTGTACCTAAACATACAGACATTAACAATACCTTTACGTAACACTATAACTATTAAACGAACAATAACGGCTATAAACTGAGCGAAATGCAAATACTCTGCGTTTACAGCATTATTGGAACAAATAGCACGTGGTTATTTTTTGCCAACTAAGGGCTGATTTGTCAATGGTTTGATAAAAGTTAAACAATTATAATGCTGTCGCGTCAAAATGTTTGCATAAGACAGTGACAGCAACAATTTTATTCCTCAGATAACATTTATGTGACTATTAAAAAATCTATAAAAAACAAACTAAATCCCGCTTCTCATGCATGAGGAGGAGGATTCATAATCTGGCAAGTACCTATGTGATAAATATGACCATTCCAAGTTATATATGTACTTTCTAAATTCATTTACACGCACCACCAACCTACAGTGATCGAAAACATCGTAAGGAAATCAGAACTTATAATTTCCAATTATAAGATTGCCAATCGCCAATAAGCCCTGAGCAAGCGTAGTGATTAATGCTCGAAAAGAACAGATCTTCGCTCAGCAGTGAGCTCTTGTAGGCTGGCTCTTATAAATAACAAATGCGGGTACTAGCTTTTAATGGCACATAAAACAACTAAATATATAAAAAACGCATAAATAATTACTAAACAAACTTACTTCGATATTTTTTCAGTTAGGAATCATAATTATTAAACAAACGAGGTCCACACCATTGGTCATTTCATTAATTATATTATTTTTATCACAAGGAAAATCTTCAATCT